GCCGCGTCTTGGCCGGGTTGCCGCTTCTGGAGCCGTCCTGGCTTTTGTTTGGGGTTATTGTGGGGTGCAGGGAAAGGTGGGGGGGAAGTCGGGGCGATGGTGCGAGCGCAGGGGGTGTGGTGTGGGGGGGAGGTGGGCATTTGAGGGGGTTTGGCCTGGGCGATTTGGCCTGGCAGGCTTGATTTTTGTAGATGTTTGTGGCGGAGAGTGTTCTTGCATTGTTGCACAAGAGTAGATGGGAGGCTGCTGTGGGTGACGGGGGTTCGCCATGGTGTGTCGGCGCATGCCAGGATTTGGGGGGGGGGGCATGTGATAAGGGGTTTGGCAAGTGGGAAGGCTAGGACCAAACGGAGGGGTGCTGTATTTCCACAAAGCAATGACAGATGCACCTCTAGTCATTCTGTGATGCAGCGGCCCAAAGCTGCCAGCATAAGTGGAAACCGTAAGGCCTGCCCCCTGCAGCCAGCAGCTCCCCATTATAGGCAGCTCCCTTATTGTGTCAGACCGCCTGCTGCAGTTGCCCCCAACCTTGACCACACCCGCCCTCTCTCCCTCCCCAGGTGACCTCCAACGAGGTTGCTGCGCGCATGGCCGAGGCGGAGGCCACGGAACGAGACATTGACGCGGCGCGCGAGGGGTACCGCCCCGTGGCGCGCCGCGGGGCGCTGCTGTTCTTTGCCATCAGCGAGCTGGCTGGGGTTGACCCGATGTACCAATACAGCCTGGGGTGGTTCAGAGCGCTGTTCGTGCGCGGCATGGAGGAGACGCCAAAGGTGTGTGTGTGTGTGTGTGTGTGCGTGCATGTGCGTGCGTGTGTGTGTTTGTGTGTGTGTGTGCGCGTGTGTGTGTATGTGTGTGTGTCTGTCCGCTTGCTCGCTTCATGTATGTGCTGTGGGTGGTGTGTGTACGTGTGTGGTGTGTGCGCACAACAGAGGGTCTGTGAAGGGTCAGGGCTCCAACATTCGTGCAAGCTTGGGGGTGGGGGTTGCCATACGCGTGCATGAGAGGCGGACGCGTCGATCAGATGACGAAAGCTGTCGTGGGAAGCTTCTTGCTATGGTAGCAGTTGGGTTGTTGCGATCAGGTGACGACCTTTATGGTAAGCGAGATGGCATCACCACCGCCCCGCCAAATGCGGCCCACCGGCCGTGCGAAGGCCGACAGCGTGGACGCGCGCGGCGCCGCCCTGAACGAGGCGTTCACCTTCTCCCTGTTTGAGAACGTGTGCCGGTCCCTGTTTGAGCGCCACAAGCTCATGTTCTCGTTCATGCTGGCCGTCAAGGTGCGTGGGGGGGGGCTCAGGGGTGTGGAATCAATTGCAATGGCATGGCACCAGGAAACTCACCCTGGCGACACACGCTGGACACGTGGCTGAAGATACGATAAATGCAGTCCAATGACACACCCCTGTGTGCGCTCGCCCCCCAGGTGATGCAGCAGCAAGGGCGCATCGACGCAAAAGACTGGCGCTTCCTCCTTGCCGGTCCCACCGCCGCCCCGGCCCGCACCCCCGGCGCCGGCGCCGCCGAGGCGCCGCCGCCGCCGCCAGCCAACCCCGGGGCGGGCTGGCTGACCAACAAGTCTTGGGGCGAGGTGCTGGCGCTGGACGCGCTGCCGGCCTTTTCTGGGTTTGCGCAGCACGTGGCGGAGTGTGAGGAGCATTACCACGCCCTCTTCGACAGCGCACAGGTGGGGCGTGGTGCCCCCGCTGAGGCCTGTGGATGCAGCCTGTGGATACAGCCAGTTTACACGGTGACTGGCTTGCTGTACCCTGCATTGGAAGCTTCCTGTCAGCTTAGTCATCTGACCTGATCACGCAAGTTCTGTGCAAGTGGCAGTGTGCGCCTCAAAACATGAAACTTTCAATCGTAATTGCAACCGTGCTGCAGGCCCACGAGCACCCCCTGGCGGAGCCCTTCGCCTCGCGCCTCTCCAGCTACCAGCGCCTCCTGGCGCTGCGCTGCCTGCGGCCCGACAAGGTCCTGGCGGGCGCGCGGCTGTTTGTCGGGGAGGTGCTGGGGCGGCGGTTCGTGGAGCCGCCGCCGTTTGACTTGGCGACGTGCTTTCGGGAGAGCGGGCCCGCGACGCCGCTGGTGTTTGTGCTGTCGCCCGGTGAGGCTTTGGAGGCGGTATGGCCGGGTCTTGCCGGCCTGACCACGCGCACAGTCACAATGACACGTCTATATGTCTCCTTGCTTCTTGTGTACCTGCTACCGTAGTCTTTCAAACCTGACACCCGGAGTATAGATCTTGATTATGGGTTTCGACGTGATCGCTGCCCAAATTCTGCAGGCGCCGACCCCATGGCCGACCTCCTGGCGCTGGCGGAAGAAATGAAGTTTTCGAAAAAGTTCGAAAAGGTGTCGCTTGGCCAGGGCCAGGGCCCGAAGGCCGAGCGGCTGCTGGCGGCCGGCATGGAGCGCGGGCTGTGGGTGTGCCTACAGAACTGCCACCTGGCTGTCAGCTGGCTGCCCACGCTGGAGCGCATCGTGGAGGGCATACAGCCCGACAAGGTGGGCTTGGCACGGTCCAGCTAGCTGTGTTGCTACAAAGTTGTGGTGCATGGGTTTGGTGGGTTTGTCAGCCGTGCATGGGAATCAGGGGGTGCCGCTGAAGCCTGCAGCCAGCCGGCGCTGTGCGCCTCAAGGCGCTCAACCGCCTTGATAACGTTCGCTTTCACCAATCTCGGCATTACCCAAGCCTTGCCTACTCACCCCTCAGTCTGGCCAGGCCCACAAACGTTCACACCTATGCACGTGTGCAGCACACACACAAGCTCACCGGCCCACGCGCCACCGCCGACACACCCACGCTCCACCCAACCGCCACCCTCCCCCAAAGGTCCACAAAGACTTCAGGCTGTGGCTCACCAGCGCACCCAGCCCGGCCTTCCCGGCGTCAATCCTCCAGGTGGGCGGGGATGCCAAAGGGGCCGCCGGCGCAACGCTCGATGACGCCACCCGGCCTCCGGCTTCGCGCCGCCCAGCCGCGCGCCCTGCCACCAACGAGCCTTTGCGGAGCATGCGACCCCCTCTCCGGCGGCACCCCAAGTGTTGGCCGCAAACTTGCTCCTCTGAATCGGCAGGAGGGCGTGAAGATGAGCCTGGAGCCGCCGGCCGGCCTGAAGGCCAACCTGCTGCGACAGTACAACAGGTGGGGGTAGGGGTTGGGGTGAGACTTGGGGCAACCAGCCGGCAGGCCGCCAAGGCGGCTTCGTGCTCTTGTTTGGTGTGCATAACAATACGTCAAGTCAGGACCACTGCTCGTCCAAAGCCGCTGTGGATCACAGAGCGGTCGTAAGGCCGGCTGCCGATGCTCTTTTTCCAGACGGCAACCCCCTGAACGCCCCGAAAAAACCTCTCCGTGGCAGGTTCTCGGAGCAGTACCTGGCCGGCAGCAGCCGGCCCCTGGAGTGGCGCCGCCTGCTGTTTGGCATGTGCCTCTTCCACGCGGTGGTGCAGGACAGGCGCAAGTTTGGGCCGCTGGGCTGGAACATACGGTGGGGCCCGCCGGCAGAGTGCTGCCAGCCAAAGCCCTGCGGCGCGCCATAGCGAGGGCGAGAGCCGCCGGGGTCGCGACGCTGCGGCGGCCCGCGAGGCGTGGATTCCTGCTGGCCGAAAATAAGTTGATGGCACAAACCCCACTTCTTTACAATCGCCCATCCACACACGCAAGCGCCCGCCGGCACTCGCGTGCACCTCCCTCCCCCTCTCCACACACACTTCTTATGTCACCCCTCATGAATGCGCGTGCAGCTACGACTTCACGGATGGGGACCTGTCTGTGAGCCTGGCTCAGATGAGGGAGTTCCTGGAGGAGGCAAAAGACCAGGTGAGGCCCTCCCCCCTTGACTGCGACAGGATGCCGCATGCTAGGAAGATCCCCAAGCGCATCCCATCACCTGAACAGCCCGAAGGCAGCTTGTTTGCGCGCGAAGCAGCAGCAGCCGTACTATCGGCCGTCCGCATCCGCAGCAGAAAAACCAGCCGCACTACCCGCCCCTCCGCGCCGCCCGGAACGCTCGCTCGAAACAACCGTTTAGATGCTTGGCGTTGCGTCCGACGCTGGCGTCTGCACATCTGAAACGGCCCTTCAAACAGCTCGACACAACCTGAATCCCGCACACTCTTTTCTTTTGAAATCCGCAAGCCGCTCACTGCTTGATTCGAGACCCGCATCCGCACCCCCGTCAAACCGCCCCAGGTGCCGTACAAGGTGCTGCGCTTCCTCTTCACTGAGATCAACTACGGCGGCAGGGTCACAGACGCCCAGGACCGCCGCCTCATCAACGCCCTGGTGGAGGGCTTCTGCGGCCCCAAGGCGAGGGGAGGGGGAAAGGGACGGACTTCAATGAGCAGTGCTGCGTGAAAAGAGCCTTGTGTCACGTGGTCATGAGGCGTCCTCATGCGCCAAACGATCTCCTGGGGTTGAAATTCTGCTTGTCGCATCGCCCCAACAGCGACTGTCAGCTGGGGGTTGCACCTGCTGGGGCCTGGTACAGTTGTGTGTGGTTGCAAATGTCGAAGCAAGGCAGCTGTGCCTGCTAAGGCCGGGCTGATGGTGTGTCTGCCTGGCTTCCATGCACCAGGTGCTGGAGGAGGGTTACGCCTTCTCACCCGGCGGCACCTACGCCACACCCGGCTGCGAGACGGTAAAGGAGGTGCGTATTGCTTGCCAAACAGCGATGGCGGATGGCAGGTGGATAATGGCGCATGGCGAAGGAGTTATGCATAGATGAGAGGGCACTCATGCGCGCACACGAACGGGGCCGAATCACCCGACTGACCCGCCGCACCCGTGTGAGCGTTTTTTGGACCCAGGTTCACCTTGTTTTGGCGTCCCGTGCGAGACCGCTTCCTGTCACTTCCCGCGTCACGGCCCGTCCTGCCCTCCACCGCAGTTTGTGGAGCACATCTCCTCCTACCCCCTGGCCCCCTCCCCCGACATCTTTGGCCTCCACGACAACGCTGACATCACATGCGAACAGGTGACAGCAGGGGAATAGGACAAAGGGAGCCATAGTATGCGCACCAAAGCCGCCCCTGAGCTGACCTCACCTGCGAAGAGGTGACAGGACAGAGAAACAATAGCATGCGCGCCAAACCCTTAGGTCAAGCCAGCGCCTCAATGCAGTTCGCTACCGGTGTTTGGGGCCCCATTGACGGGCGTTAGGCCTAGTCCCAGGCCATTTGTGGGCCAGGGGCGGCGCCCACCCCCCAGTATAGTCAGATGGATTGCGGTTTGCAAATTGTGGTCGCCTGTCGCACGTCGCACTCGACCAAGGCGCCCTCATTCCTCGCCGCCACCCCCGCGGCTGCCTGCAGGCCGAGTCCTATGGGATGCTGGGCTCCCTGCTGGCGCTGCAGCCGCGCGCGTCCGGCGGCGGCGGCGGCGAGAGCCAAGAGGACGCCATAGCGCGCATAGCAAACGGGATCCTGGAGACGGTGGGCGATGAGTCGTGCTTTGGAGGGCTCGGGTGACGGGGAGCTTTTGCGTCGGGACACATGGCCGGTGACTCTGCTTACTACACCATTGGCGGCTCTAACGGGGGGGGGCCTTGAGGTGGCTTCACGGCAGAGGCGCATAACTTGATGGAGCAGAGCGCGCTACACATATGCATCAGATGGGTTATCAACCACACTGCCAACGCGTTTGAAACAATAGTCCTGCCTTCAAGAAGCAACTGACTGTGTGATTATGCGATGCCATGCCCATTGCTTTCATCGACCCCCTCGTCGCAGCTGCCGGCCTCCTTTGACCTGGATGCGGTGGCGGCCGCATACCCCACGTCCCACGCCGAGTCCATGAACACCGTGCTGCTGCAGGAGTGCATCCGGTGGGTGGCCGGACGGGGCTGCCTGTTGCAAACCTCAGATACCTTATGCCAAAACTGCAGATCGGGGCGAGTCCGCGCAGTCCTGATCGGGGACACGGCAACCAACCTGCGCCATGCCGTTTGTGGGCCGTTATGCATGGAGTATAGCCTGAGAGGCCCGCAGCGGGCCCCGCTGCGTGCGTGTCGGTAGATTTTTTTCGACTGCGCAGATTGTACAAGTCTCACCAACACAATCGCCGCCGCACACATGCGCCTGATCCGCGCTCTCGCCTGACCTTTCGACCTGCACCCCACCCCGGGCCCCCCAGGTACAACGCGCTGCTGGAGGTGGTGCGGGGCAGCCTGCAGCAGGCGCTCAAGGCGCTGCGCGGCCTGGTGGTGATGAGCCCAGACCTGGAGGCCGTGGCCTACAGCCTCTACGACAACCAGGTGGGTGAAGGGGGGGGGGCTGAGGAGGAGGCTGCTACTGCTCGGGTCAGTGTTCGTTTTTTAGGACGGAGGCCGGGCGGCATGATGATGCCGATCCTGGAGGTTTTGATTTGGGTGCCGGCCTTAGGTTCCAGGGGCTTTGGCGGGGGTCAGGTTTGGGCAAAGCTAGCGGATGCGCGGTGGGCCTGTGAAAAGACTGTCATGACGAAAGCTGCATCAAACGAGGCAGGGCTTGCAGCGGGGCTGTGTGTGACGGCGCCGCAATGAGGCGGCCCTCCCTGGCAGGGCGCGGAGACCAAACAGGGATGGACTGCTGCGGGGACCTTCATGCCGCGCCCACATCTCGCGGCGCCTTACGATGCCACCCGCCTTCACCCCATCGCAGACGCCCGATACACCCCTCCCTCACCCGATCAGCCCCGCGCCTTCCAAACCCCAAAGATATGGTGTCACTGCAACCAACGTCCCTGAACCCCCACTACATCGGCCAACTGCCTCTCACTCAATCCCCCCCGCTCTCGACAGGTCCCCGAGGCGTGGGCGGCCAAGGCATACCCGAGCCTGAAGCCCCTGGCGGCCTGGGTGGCCGACCTGCTTGAGCGGCTGAGGTTCATAGGGGGCTGGGTGGCGCAGGGGCGGCCCGCGGTCTACTGGATATCGGGCTTCTTCTTCCCACAGGTGTGTGCGCGTGTGTGCACGCGCGCGCGCTCGCGCACACAGGCGCCAAGGGTGGGGGCGGTTGCGCCTCGTCTGTTAGGACCATTCAGTGAGTTCCCAGGCCTGGCGCCTGCAGTAGCAGCGACCCCTTGCAGAGCCCATGCTTCAGCACCGCCGCGTTGCGCACTCCCTTCGGAGGCACGATGCACTGCCGCCCCGCGTCTGTCGATCCCCCCACGCCCCGCCCCTTCCCTGTATCCCTGTGCCCCCCGCCCAAAGGCCTTCCTGACCGGCATGCTCCAGAACTTTGCGCGCCGCCACGGCCACCCCATTGATGCTGTCGCGTTTGAGCACCTGGTCATGGACTTTGGGCCGCCAGGGGGCCAGTGGGAGGCGCCAGAGGACGGCTGCTACGTGCGGGGGCTGTTCCTGGAAGGGGCGCGCTGGGACGCGGAGGCGCACGCGCTAGGTGGGCCGGCGCGGATGTGCGGGGCCTTGGCGGGGGGCTGGCGGGCAGGTGTTTGATGCCCAGGAGTCTCTCCGCGCTGGCGGGGATGCGGGGGCGCCTCTGGCCGGGATAGGGGGGCGCACCCGCTGGGTTGGCTGCGGCGAGTGCCCCGCTGCCAGCGCGCGCTCGTCCCAAGTGCGTGCTTGCCACCCCCGGCCTGCCATCTGTTGCGCCGCGGCTTCTCCGGCGGCGCCCCGTGCTTTGCCCCTCCCCAGTTTGCAAACTCAGCAAGCCACACCCCCAACCCCACCTCAGCCTTCCCCTTACCCAGCCCAGCAAAGCCCGCCCCCACTTCCCCACCCCAACCAAAGACTCAACCCACCTCGCCCCGACCCACCGCGTGCCCCCCACCCCTCCCCAAGCCGAGTCGCGCCCCAAGGAGCTGTACACACAGATGCCCGTCCTCTGGCTGCGCCCCCGCCACACCCGTGGCGCCACCGCCGCCGCCGCCAACGCCACCGCCGCCGCGCCGGCCCCTGCCGCTGCGGCGCGCGGCTACGAGTGCCCCCTGTACAAGACCGTGCAGCGCGCCGGCACGGTGTCGACCACCGGCCACTCCACCAACTTTGTCATGAGCGTCGACCTGGATGGGGGCGGCCGGCCGGCAGGGCACTGGGTCGCGCGCGGCGTCGCGCTGTTTGCGGCGCTGCCCTTCTGAGCTGCGTGAGCGGAGCCGCGTCGGTGCACGGTGGTTGGGAGGTGCTGCTGGGCTTTGTTGGGCCCTTGCTTGCCCTCGGTGTGCTGGTGGGTTGTGGTCGCCCGCTACACACATATTCACATGCCTGTGTGGACGGTTGTTAGGTCGACACCTTTGCTAGCCCGCTCGCACGTGTCAAACCGCTGCAAGTGCGCTGGGCACATACGCAAAAGGGCTGTAATATTGTGCACTGAGCTCCTGTCAGGTCCTTTCTCCTAGCGGCTGGGCTCATGAGCAGGGCTAATAGATAAAGAGAGGGGAGCGTGGTGAGCCGGCCACAGCTGTGTGGAAACATGTACTGCACTGCTCAGGCCACGCCAGAGCGGCATGCTGCGCCAGCTCTCTCGCTTGCTTAAAGGCTGCGAGCAAGTGCGGATACCAGAGGGTCGGCCGGGACGAGCAAGCTTCCACTGTCAGCAGGCCAGGCGTCACCACATAGCCAGCATTGGGGATGCGAGGGCAAGTCTTCGGTAGCCCAGCCCGAAGCTGCCAAGCAACTACTGCTTGCTGTGAACGTATAATACAGGGGCCTCAAGCGCTTACTTGCTCGTCACACTGGCAACGCCGAGTAAGCCAATCCAAGCTGCTTGATCCCAACAAATTCCAATGGAAGGCGCTGCAAACAAGCAGCGCTGCCAAGGAAGGCCGGGGCCGACACGCTTGCAGGTGGCTGACATCACGTGGGTTGCAAGCAAAAAATAGGCGGTCGAGCATTGGTGGGCTCAGGCCTTGCCATGTGTGTTGCGGCAGCCCACGATCATTGCTCGACAGGGGCAATGCCAGGCTGGGTGTGCGCCGGCGCTGTGTACGCATGATGCGAAGGATCGGGGATCCAGGTCGCAAGGCAAGGAATAGCTGGGACACGCGGGCATGTCCAACACACACCACGCACGTGGTCAAGCGGCAGACAGCGGGCCAGCGCAGCCTGCTGGCTGTGCCGGCCTGGAAGCTGCCTGGAGCTGCGCATCAGTAATCAGGAGGCCACCAGCTTGGGATCTGTCAGAGGGTTGGTTCGGGGTGCAAATGGATCAGCAGACGGGCCGACAAAACCTACCACTTGGCACAGCCTGCATGGCTAAAGGGATGGGGCAGGCGGGGCCGCTGCGTGCATGTGGCGGCTGGGAAGGTCAGCTGCACAGTGGCCGCAACGCGGCAGGGCAGGCGGCGTCGGGGCCCTTGCCGGGCGTGCAGACATATTGGACGGGTGCCAACACGCCTGCCCCGCCCTGCCGTGGGGATAATCAAACCCCAAACACGCCCCTACCCGGAAAAATGGACTCACATGCCACATCGTAGTGCCCGGGGCGGTACAGCAAGTGCACGCTCGGCTTCCGCCCGCCCGCCGCGCCGCCGGCACCGCCGCTGCCCGCTGCGGCCGCGAGAGCGCCGGCGCCGTCTGGGCTGGGCTCGAAGCGGTGCACCTCGCACTCTGCGCCGCCGCTGCCGCCGCCGCCGGCGCCGCCCAGGCCGCGCTCGTGGCTGTCCAAGTAGACTATGGTTATGGGCACCTTGGGGGTGGTTGGGTGGGTGGTTGAGTGGGGTCTTATTGAAGTGGGGCAGGGCGCAGGGTGCAATGCTTGGAGGGCAGACCGGGTGGGCGGGAGGGGAAGGGGAAACCGGGTGGGTTGGTGGGATGCACTTCCAAGGAACCACGGCCGACCCCAGCTGCCCAGCACCTCCAGGTCGTTGAACCCCATCACACGCGATGCTGTGCAATGCCATTCCACGCACAGAGAGGGCAGTCGCCTATCCATCGTCCGCGCTGCACCTGTGGGCAGCCTGCTGATCACCGGCTGCCAGGCACGCGCGCCGCCGCTGAATGGCAGGCGTGCTCATTGCAATGCAGGGACCCAGGTGTTGCGCAGTCACCCCTGGGCCACGGTTACCCCCTGCGCCTCGCAGGCCTTGGCAACCAAGCCACCTTCCTGCAGCTTCCTTTGTCACCCACAACATCCCCCTTGCTCCCCTTCAAACTCGCATGCCAACCTGCATGCGCTCACGCACACAGCAGCACGAGCACATGCACACAACACAACACACACACACACGCGCGCGCCCCAATGCATGAACACACACGCCCTGCTCACCTGCAGTGCGTCGCAGAGTGCCTGCGCGTGCAGGTGGTCGCTCTCCTCAGCCATTGGCTCCACAAAGCGCCGGCAAAAGTCCGGCACATCCATGTCCGCCACACCCTGCGGTGTGCGTTGGGGGGGCCCGGGGATGAGGCAGGGCGGGGAGCCGGCAAGACAGGGGGGATGTGCTTCTCCGACGCTGCTGTCACCCGCACGCGCCCAGAGTGCATGGGTGCTGCCTTCACGTGGTGCGTGGCTGGTGTCAAGCGCCGTCCGACGACAATTGCCCGGCCCCCACCCCACCCACCATCCGGCAGGCACCACGCCTCAGTAAAAGCACCCTTCCCATCCCGAAACATCTGTGTTCTCGAGGCCCCCTCCCTCCTTCACGCCCCCCCTCGGCCAGCTCTAGATGACCCCCCTCCCCAGCCCCTTGCTTTGCCCCCTAACCGACCCTCCCTGCCCACCAGCACGAAGGGCGCAAAGTGCTCCTGCCGCGCCTGGATCTCCGCGCTGGTGACGAACCGCATGAGCATGACGATCATGTTGCTGACCGTGTCGTCCCGGAAGTTGGCCAGGAGGGTGCCCATGTCGGCGCCCTGGCCGGGCACGGCCGCGCCCACGCAGATCGCGTTGACCTTTGGAGGGGGTAGGGTGGAAGATGGTAGCTTTGAAATCATACGATAGGCCAGAACAAGTATAATTGAATAGGAGGAAACAGGATGGGTTGGGATGCTTCAAGTAGGCCGGCCGTGGCGGCCTGCTTTGTGCGCAGGGCTGCTCAAGGAGAGGGAGGGGACGCCAAGTAGGGGCACGGGGCTCGCCTGGGGGGAGGGTGGGGGGTGCTCACGGATGAATGGTGCGTGGAAAACGGCGCAAGCGGCAGACGGTGGGCCGTGCGGCACAACTCCTGGCTTCTTCAACAACCCCCAACCGCGTCGGGCCACTCGCGCCGGGCTTGGAAGTGACGATGAAAGCCCTGGAAACATCCCTGGTTGCGAATCCCTCTGACCCCCACACACGACCAGGCAGACGCGCGAGTCGCAGGCCTGATGCACGCCGAGTGACATCATGATGACGTCATCACGGCCCCACCTGCCCGACCAGCATGTCCAGGGCGTCCTCGAACACCATTGGGTCGAACCCCGCCCCCACCATCCGCTGCTTGCACGCGTCAAGTGTGTGCAAGAACCTGGCCGCGGCGGCGTGGCAGTGCAGGGGAAGGTAAGGCGCGCTTGATTGTGAGCCAGGGAGGTGTCGCAGCGGCCCTCGTTGGGACGGCCTGACCAACCGGGCGGGGCTCCGCTGCCTGCGTATCCGCGTAGCAGCCGAGGCGGCGGCCGCGAAACATGTTTCTGCTGCACGTCCTGTGAACCAGATTGTTCCGCGGTTGACAACCCATGTTGGACTGCGATCATGACCACTCAACCTCGACAACGGCCAAGTGCAACCGCCCGCACTTTTGGCACTCTGCGTCGGCGTCGTTCACGAGCAGCCACTCCAGCAGGCCAAAAGCAGTGGCGCGAAAGAAGCAGTTGCCGTCGGAGCGAACGCGGCGGATGCCACCGTAGCGCGCCATGAGGGCACGGATTTTCGACACAAAAACAGGGTAGGAGCGGTAGTCTGACATTCATAGAAAGGGCGGGTGTGGCAGGGGTGGCATCGCAGTTGTGTTCACAACAGCGGGCGCAACGTGTGCATGCAGTGTGCGCTGCCTGTGTGCCATTCATGTGGGCTCCGCAAAAGCTGCAGCTTCTCGCATGGCGCTCTGTGCAGCCCGTCCAGCTTCCCGCCGCCTTTCCCCCGCCAAAATACAGCCGGGCCGCTGCAATGAGCAGACAGCCTGCCGGCCATCGCGCATGCTGACCGTGCCGCAGGGACGTGACCGTCGTGGCCGGGGCGTGCGCCGCGCCCGCGGCTGCGCCCTGCTTTTACGGGCGGCGCATGTGTGTGTGGGCCGCACTGCACCTTGTGTCAAGCTCTCTAGGGACTCCTTGTCCCCCACATATGGCTTCTTGGCTTCCTCCGCCCTGTCAGCATTTGCATAAGCGTCGTCGGACGCCGCACACGCTCGTGCGGGACGCGCAGCGATGCTGAGCAGCTGCCAGGTTCGAGATAGATAGCGGCGCCGCTCGCGGCATGAAGCATGCCCGGCCTGCCATGCCGCTGACTTGTCCCAGACAGATCGTGTGTGCTGAGTGCGTGCCAAGGCACCAGGCACCCCTCCGCCGTCACCAACCTGATGATATCAATGTTGGTCATGTCATCCAGCCGCTCCCCTGCAAACGCCCCCGTGTCGGCATCCACTGCGGCCTGCACCGCCCTGACCTCCTCCGCGACCGCCGCGGCCTCCGCCGCTGCGGCATCGACGGGCTCGTCGGCGGGGGGGGAAGGCGGCGCGGCGGCGGCAGCCTGCGATGGGTCCCCCATGCGTCCGCTGCGTATGCTGCTGCTGCTGCCTGTGCTATAGTCCGCGTCAAGCTTCCAGCAGCTTCTTGGTACCGATCAAAGAAAATGACCGCGACGTGAGACTCCGCACAGGGGCGGAGGGACCTTCTGACGGGCAATGGGCGTGGAGATGTGTAGATCGAAGCTGCGGCCGGCAGATATCGCATGCAAACGACCTGCAGTTAAAGCGTGTGTCCTGCCTGCTAATGGTGCAGAGAACCTGGCATCAAAAGGCTGCATGTCCCTGACAAATAATTCAAGTTGGGACAAAGGTCTCGTACCGAGACGACCGTTTGACGCTCATTCGTCGCGGTATGTTGGCGCATGCTCATTTTGGTATACAGTTGCTTGCTGCATGCTTACCGCATGATAGCAGATCAAGCGCGGCAGATTAGCTTGGTTGCGCTGCACTCCGCAATAGCATCGCATCACAACCACGCCAGCCAATGCAGCATCAGAACATCGCCTGAGCGAACAGCGTAGGCCGCGAGCCATCGGGCGTCGGCGGTGCTGCAGCAAGAGACGGGGCGGGAGCGCCAGTCGCTGCTCTCAATGAGCAGCCACGGGCCGGCCCACAGCAGCCTTGAAGCGGCAGAGTGCGGCGAGCAGGAAGTATCAGGAGGAGATGAGGACCTGTACTTCGATCAGGAAGAGGAGGGCGACAGCCAGGAGGATGAGGACGACGCAGTCGGCGCCTTGGGTGCTTTGGCTGCCGCTGCGGCTCAGCAAAAGCGCTGTCCCTCGCACGCCGCAGTAGACAACGCCGCAGGCAGCCAACTGCGGCACCACGGCGGTGGCGGCCGCGGCCACGGCGGCGGACGCGCGAGGGGCGGGCGGTCGGGTGGGCGCGGCCACGGCCATGATCGCCGTTTCAATCAGGCGGGAGCTCCCAGGCGGCAGCTGGGCTTCTGGCAGGTGGGGCCGGCGCCTTGCTCGCTCTGAGTGAACGGCTATGTTCCCGCCAAGATCTCCTGCATCCATGACTCCCAATGCGCTGTTGCGCACAAGTGGGGTGCGAGGTATGTTTGCGCCGCCTTCTGACAACCCGGTGCTCCCACCCATCACCCCAGCCTTTCAACGACTGGTGGCGCTCTCAGCTGGAGGCATCAGGCGCTCGCCCCAGATCCGAAGACATTCGCAGCTGGTGCGTCTCGTCCATGCACACATTGAATTTGCCTCATCGCAAACGCCCCGCCGCTTCTGACGCCACTGGTGCTTTTGGCCCTGATGGTGGCACCACTGCTTCCGCATCTGGTCCGGTGATAGTGCTGCTGCTGCTGCTGCTGGTGGTGGTGGTGGTGGTGGTGAAGGCCCATAACCCCTTGATTCAGATCTAGCACTGTGGAGCACCCATCGCATGTGCAGCCAACTACACCCTCCCTCCATCCCTCTACCACCCCCCCACACACACATCCGTTCTCTCCAGGCATGACGCCAACAGCGCGGCCGTGTGGGGCGCCAGCGCGCCAACGCTGGCGGAGACGCGCGTCCACGCCAAATGTCTGCGGTCAGTGAAGCTCGTGCGGCAGTACTTCCGCAAGTACCGCGCCCGCAAGAGGCGCGAGGAGGTGAGGGCGGCCGTGGCAGCAAACTCAGGGTTCCTGGCCGAGCGGGCAAAACCTGACGGCAGGTGCGGGCGTGCTCATGAAGCAAGGGAATCCACTGCATGGCGAAGGCGACCCAGCACGCCGACGCAGCTCGGCGGCAAAGCGTGCGGCCGGCCACTGCGCGCTGCGCAGGACTCTGGCTATGAGGGCGGCAGCGGCGGGCACGACGACGAGGGCGCGTGGCCGGCGCTCAGCAGCCAGAGCAAGAGGGCCAGGTCAATCAGGGGCCCCAGGACGGGGGCGGCGCAGCATGCAGAGGCGGGGCTTCAAGCCACAGCGGCGGCAGCGGCCGCGGCGCAGCCGTTCGCCGGCATGCCGAACGGGGTCGCGTGCTTCCCTTTCGCCGCGGGTGTGCATGGCATTGTGCCGGTGCCCCTCTCACTCCCGATGGCAGCCATGGGCGGGGTGCAGCCCGTCATGCCGCCAGGGCTGGCCCAGAGCCTGCTGCTGCAGAGCGGCTTCCCGGCCCCACTGCAGTTTGCGGGCTGGCAGGCGCAGACGCTTATGTTGCGGCAGATGCAGCAACAGCATGAGGCTAAATTTGGGCAGCAGCAAGCGTGGGAGGAGCAGCAGGTGGAGGAGCAGCAACAAGAGCAGCAACAAGAGCAGCAGCGGAGGCAGCAGCAGGCGCGGAGGCAGCAGCAGCAGCAGCAGCAGCAGCAGCAGCAGCAGCAGCAGCAGCAGCAGCAGCAGCTGGTGCAGCAGCAGCAGCAGCAGCAGGTGCAGCAGCAGGTGCAGCAGCAGCAGCAGCAGCATGTGCACCAACAGCAGCGGCGACAGCAGCAACAGCAGCAGGTGCAGCAGCAGCAGCAGCAGCAGCAGCAGCAGGTGCAGCAGCAGCAGCAGCAGCAGCAGCAGCAGCAGCAGAATGTGGCACAGGGCGTCACAGCACTGGCCGTTGCGGAGCTTCTGCGGCACGGCCCGCCCGCAGCTCCGCAGGAAAAGTCTGCGCACCTCGCCATGACCGCCTCCAAGCTAGCGCCCAAGCGGCAGCGCTCCATGTCAAGCAGCAGCGACGGTGCGCTTGCAGCAGCTGCTTCTGGCGGATGCTGGGCCAGAGGGGCTGGGCACACCATCCTCGCGGGCGCTGCAGTGGCCGAGGACGCAAGCACGCCTTGCGTGGTGCAAGCCGAGGAGCCTCCGCTGGTGGGGCACTTGAGATTTGACTCTGATCAGGCAGTTGTGGTGGCCGACAGGTTGCCTCCGGCGTCAGCCAGTGCCAAGCAGAGCTACTTGCCCTCAACGACCCAAGCCAGTCAGCCACAAGACCAGGAGCAGCAGAAGCAGGAGCAGCAGAAACAGCAGCAGCAGCAGCAGCAGCAGCAGCAGCAGCAGCAGCAGCAGCAGCAGCAGCACGAGGAGCAGCAGCAGCATGAGGAGCAGCAGCAGCATAGGCGACAGCAGGACCGGCCGGAGCATCACACAGTGCAGAGCGAGCAGCCGCAGCAGGGGCAGCAGCAGAACAAGCAGCAGCAGAGAAGACAGCAGCAACGTATGCAGGTCAAAACTGAACACAGCACCTGGCAATCCCAGCAGCAACTGCTCTGCAGCAGCCCCGACGCGCCGCGCCATGCCGCGCGTGTCCAGCAGCCGCCCGACCAGGGCGCCAACATGTCTGCCGTGGCTGAGAGGGCTGAGGGGGTTGCCTTGCTGGCAGACGAGGAAGTGGCGGCGCTCAGCCGGGGCCAGCTGGTGGAGCGCGTGCGGGCGCTGCAGAGGGAGGTGCAGCTGCAGGTAGGGCGGCTTTACGACGGCCGGGGTTGTGAGAGGCACAGGGGCTGTTGCCACGCGTGAACCGGCTTGCGTGAGCAGCACGAACGACAAATGCAAACCACATTATGGTACAGGCGTCTGAGTTGCACCCTGGCAGCATCGCGGTTCGCTCCTTCCTTGCCACCCCTTTGACGAGCGCCCCCGCTCGTGGTCAATCCCGCAGCGGCTCGCACTACAGGAGCTCACGCAGCGGCAGCAGCTGCCAGAAGTCACGGCGAACGCGCCGCGTGTACATCGGGCAGCTTGAGGGTGGATTCATTTGGACTGCACCCTGCTTGCGGTCCCAGGCCGCTCATCAGACAGATAGGCCAGCATGTCAACAAACGAAGGCACCGCAAAGAGCTCTGTCCTTGTGTGCACTGTGTGCACCTCGCTCAGCCATCGATGGCACCAACCCTGCGCATCTGGGCCGCTTGACCTGCACAGCATGGCGCAGCGCACCACAGCACAGCACAGCACAGCACAGCGCAGCACAGCGTAGCACTGCACAGTTTGCACCTGCATACTTAGCACGTCCGCCTGTGCTTACGTGATGCATATTGTCCCAACGCAAGTGTAGCATTTCGTATGAGCTGGTTTACGCCCTGCGCGCCCCTGAGTGGCTGCACGCCACAGCACCCTGCATGTCACTTAATTTGAGATTACTGACGGCTTCAATCTGCTCTTTTGACGCCAGATGCTGGTGGTAGTCTGCCGTCGGCCCCGAGATCAGTCCTGGAAAATTGTCACCCTCGGAGGAAACGCACGCACCGCCTGTTTTTTTGGTTGACCACATGTAAGCAACATATGCCTTGAGGAGGCATGGGCAAGGTCTGGTGGATGGCCGATTGGCGAGGCAGTGGCGGGAGCGGCATGCTGTCAGGTGCGGGACGAGCTGGTCAGGCATTGTGGAGGGGCTCGTGGCGCATGGCTGTGCCTTCTCCTGGGCCATGTGGCCAATGGCCACATGACCGTGCGCTGCTGAGCTCAAGCTGTGCGCTGACCAAAAGAAACCATCAGCTGCCTCCCTTTGAAAGGTACTCATGCTGCGCCATAGCTTATGTTATGTCTGTGAGCGGCGGCTGTGCATGTCAATGTGTTGACCATGAGCGCATGCCTCCGGGATAAATACAGAGCAGTTGGTACATGTCATGCCGTTGATCAGTAAGCCTCGCGATTCAGGTGCAGTTCTACCGCCGTATCTCAGCCTTAGCGAGACGCAGCCCAGCACATAATCAAGATCCGTGCGATCTGTAAATGCAGAACAGTGATTTGGTGTGTGTGTAATAACAGATGAAGATAGTTTCATTCATGCGTCCAGCACATAGCGCCGTGCACGCGGCTGGCTGAGGGTGCGCCAGCGCCGCTGCCTGCACAATGGACGCTCTGCGCCAGCAGGCCGCCAAGGCGGCCACTGCATACCGGGACTGGGGCTCCCTCCACGTAAGTGTTGAGGCCCGTTGTCGCACAATGGTGGCCGCAAACGTCGTACTGCTTCGCTGCTCGTGTGCGGGCGCGAGCCGATGGCGCTGCAATGCTTGAAATCTTGACCTCGTGCGTACCCTGCCGCCACTGTGCGGCCGGACAGGCACGCTCTGCCGCGGGGCTGGCGACCGCGGTAAATATCCTCGGGCGCCTTCAGGTAGGCAGGGCCAACCGCCGCTACCACCTGCGCTGCCTGCCCAACGGCCGCCGTAGCGGCTCTCAGTCGCGGCCGCGCCGCGCGGCGCGCGCCCAGCCCCTTGCGAATCGCTCACGCGCCGGCCGGCGCTGCGCACCGCAGGCGCCCCCCCTGCCCTTGCGTGCGCGAGCAGGCCGCACTGCAACTCGTGCTGCACCACTCATGGCACGGCCCGCTCCACCCCACCCCTTGCGCCTCCACAGGCCCTGCAGGACGCGTCCCATTTCGAGGCGCTGGGCTGCAGCAAGGAGGTCCAGGAGGAGGTCCTCGCGAAGCAGCTGCAGGCCCTCCATGCTGCCTTAGCCAGCGTCCACGCGGCGTTGTGAGTACGCTCATGCTTTCCCGCGGCCCGCGCCGCCGTTGTGGGCGGCGCTGCGGACCTCGGTTCGCGCCCTGGTTGCGCAGCCGCCATGAGCGGGGCCGTTGCTGTCTCGCCATGCGAGGCAGCTGAGCTGTTTGGGCCCTGTATCTGACCAGGGACGGTGGACTCGTCACTGCTGTTCCTCGCAGGTCCGAGATGCAGGCGCCAGTGAGGGAGCTTGAGCGCGCCGCCCTTGAGGCCGCCAAGCGCGGCGCCGCGATGCCGCTCGCGGCGGCGGCGCAGCGGCGGGGGCCGGAGCCGTCGGCGGCGGAGGTGGTGGAGGCGCTGCAGGACGCCTGGTGGGCGGCGGGGGCTCCGCGGGGGGGTCCATGCCGCCGCGATCCGCGCTGAGTCGGCACAACTGGGCTTGGTGGGCGCATGTTGCCTGTGCGGCCTTGCGACTGAAGCACGTGCAGCGGGGAATCATCTGGCCCTGGCTTGCGTGGCGCCCAACAGGCAACGCGGTAGCCAGGGGCATCTGAATAGCCATTTAGTATGCTGCCAGGGCAGGAGGATAAAATTAAAAAATGTTGTCCCGCTTGCGTTGCCATATGATCAAGTGGCTGGGGTCGTGCTTTGCATCCCGCCATGCCGCAGGCGGATGTGCCGCGACGAGCTGGTGCTGAAGCAGACGGCCGTCGGGCTGGTCACCCTGGACGCGTCACCCGGTGACACTGCCGCGCTGCTGGCCTGCTATGAAGGTGGGCCGGATGCCTCGGGCGCAGCCGTGGCGGGCAGCCATTGGCCGTGTCTGCCTCACTCTGAATGGCGAGTGCTGCTTTGCTGACAATGCGCTCTGCTGACGTCAGCTACGACATGCAGAGCTCCCTCGGCCACCGCTGTTATGATCTTTTCAACACGTGCACATCCGCCTTTTTCCGCCGCAACCCCTTGCACCTGCAGCCCAGCCAAACATCGACCAGCCGCGGCTGGAGGCGTTTTGGCAGCAGATGGCGGAGACGGCGCCCAGGAAACCGCTGTGATGGGCGGCGGCAGGGGCCTGACTTGTGGCGGGTGCTGCTGGTGTCACCCATGACCCAAGAACTGGATTGCTGAGCTTGCAAACTTAAGACCATTTTGACCCTGAAGATCATGTGTACATTACACTTGAGCACTCGACTTGTGCTCAGCAGTTGTTTCAAAAGCAAAGCGCCAAACACGGGCTGCAATAGAAAGGTGTGCTGGGGGACGGCTGCGGCTCCCCACTGGGCAGGCGTGAGCTTCAAGGAAACATGGTGCAAAAGCTGCGGAGGGAACAAACGGGGTGTTGCCCCTTGTAACTATGGAATCCTGGTTGTGCTCATTCTGGTGAGACAAGGGTAGCCTGGACAAGAGACACGCCCCCAACAATTCCCAGCTGTTCAAACGCACATCATAAGCGCGCCGCATATCCCTCTGTTCGCTCATCAGCCGTCGTGTTGCCCTTCGCCCATGCTGCGCCGAGCGCCAGAAAAGTGATTCCAGTGCCTTGGAACGGGGAGCGCGGACCTTGCACCCCACCGCGCGCACAGGGCAAGGCGCTGCCAGTTGTGGCCAAACACTAGGGGGCCCCACCAGTCGCCTAGCTCTGGCTGCCGCCGCCGCCCTCACCGGTGCGCCGCGCCTCCTGCTGCTGCAGCAGCTGGTCGCACATCGCCACCAACTCGGCGTTTTCGGTCTCCTTGGCCGCGCAGCGCGCCAGGGCCTGCGCGAGGGATCAGGGTGCGGGGCGCGGGGCGGGACTGGGTGGCGCATTGAGAAAAGTGCGGCGTCCATTTATGCTCTGCATTGGCTCGCCCATGCTGCGGCGACTGCAGAGGCCAGAGTCGGCTCTAGGGCTCTGCCCCGGCCCGCTGCCAACTCCCCACCGCAGCACCGCCCGTCGCAAGCCTACCACCACCTCGATACGGGGCACCGCCGCGTTTCAATCCTTGAAATTGAGAGGAAGCAAAGCCGCAAACTCACCTCTTTGAGCATCGTGCTCTTCTGAACATACTTCTGCTTCAGCTGCGCGTAGTGCTGCGCCGTCACCGCCAGCCTGTCCCGCTCCGCCGCCAGCGAGGACTGCGCCGCCGCGGCCGCCGCGAGCTGCGCGAGCGCCTCGCCGAGGCGCGCCCCGTCGGCGTGGGCGCGCGTGGACGCCTGCTCTGCCGCCATCTGGGCGGTGCAGACCTGGGGGGGGGGGGGCGGGGGGGGGGGGCCATTTT